ACTGATTCAGGTAACTTACCATTGCATAGTTGTTTGAATGAGTCTTTATTTGCAAATCATAGTCTATATAAGTTGATAAATGGGTCATTTTATGCTGATAGCTATTGTAATCATCACTAGATAATAGGCTTAAAATAGAGGTGCATCTGCTATTTGAGGATGTCCATTATGTTGTCAAGCACAGTCTGACAAGGCTTTTTTTCTCCAAGAGTTGAAAACCAATTTAGCAGCTAATCTTTTATTGACAGAGGCATTCATTACTTTAATCCTCTTATATTACTTTGGGTGCTTCCTTCTATTTGTGACTGTTTTGATATGGGAAGAGAATTATTTAAGTTACTTATTTGGGAACAACTTTACCTATATATTATGATTTTTAAAAATGGATTGGCATCCAGGAATCATAAGTGTTTTGTTATTTGATTTAGATGTACATTTGAGTCATAGTGGACTAAAAATAGTTGATTTAGATATCAAAAACAAATAGCCTTTTACATTGTAATATTCACTTGAATTGGGGTTTGAGTTGTGATAGAAATGATTTACCAGAGCTAGATCACCCCTTCTGTGACCATTGGTGCCAATGATAATTATGAAAACTATTGTAAAACTTTGTAAAATGCAAATCAAACTTATAAGCTAAAAGAGTGTGTATTGTTTAGGTAACATTTTAGCCTTTTCTTTTTTTCCTGCTTACTTGTGTAGGCTGCTATTGTGCGGATTATGAAAATGAGAAAGGTCCTAAAACACCAGCAATTGCTTGGAGAAGTATTAACTCAGTTGTCCTCAAGATTCAAACCTCGAGTGCCAGTAATTAAGGTAAAACAATTCTATTGTTTTACTTAATCATTAAAGAAAAAGAAATTGATGGGTTGGAGAAAAGGCAGAGTTGACTACAATTATAATTCCAAAACTGCCGTAACAAGGGCAATGATTCCCAGGTAGTTACTAAGTTCTGTAGGAGTGGAGAGGACTATCAGGATAGTTTCTTTATCAAAGCACCACCTGTTACTTGTATTTTTTATTTCAATAAGCTATTCCCAGTATATCTTTCTGAACCTTTGCTACCATATCTTCCTTTGGGGATGTCATAATAGTATTTGCCACAAGTCACTTACCTGAGTGAAAGGCCAATTTTACCTCCTCTTTAAAGGTCAGCCATGCTCATATCCAAGAAAGTAATATGATAGCGATTCGGTTCTTGAAACCCAGAAAAGACCCTTCCCAAAAGAACTTGCCTTCTTGAAGGGAAAAGATTCCTTTTGCCCAAATCCTGGTTGTTCACAACCATGTAAGAAGAAACGGTCCCTCTACCAGCTAGTGAAGGAACAGTTTGAAGAAAAGGCAAGAGAAAGGAAAATCAGAGATGAGAAGAGAGTAGACTTTGAGGAGGTATATCAGAGCTGAGAATGGAAAAGAACAAGGGGTTACATGTGGGGAAGGTATTCTCCATGTAATGTATGAAGTCAGGCCATGACCTAAGTAGATTGGAAACCTGGAATCATTGAGCTAGAAACTTACTTGAATTGCAGGATTCACCTAAACCTAGTAACTTTGTTCTTCTGACTTGGGTTCTCTTGGCAGCAGTAGCATACTTGGCTTTTATTCTTTGGTATTAAATAAATACATGGATTTTTTTCTCCCTCCTTCCTTATTAAAAAATAAACATACAGAAATGCATTGACATTCTCATTGAGAAAGAATACTTGGAGCGTGTTGATGGTGAAAAGGACACCTACAGTTACTTGGCTTAACCTTTTTAGCAGTTGTCTGACTGCGACACTCAGCAAATAGTCATGTAATGGAAAAAATGGAAACAACTGAACTTCCTCGCAGCCAGGCCGCTGCCATGCGGACCTCCCTTGTCAAACCTGAGACCAAGACCCCCATCAGCCAGGCGGCTCAGATTTACATTGGAACTGCTCAGGATCGATACATTTCAAGGATGTAAATATGGACACCAACGCCATCTAATATAATTTAAGAACAGAGAGGATTCAAACCTTCAGTGCTGAGGGTTGCATGCTACTGCATTTAAATCAATACATTGGCTATATGATTAACAGCTGTCTTCATAGGCAGCCTTTATAATGTCGGCAGCACTTTGAGAGCGAGTCTGAATGGACCCATGTGTAATCTGCTATGAACAACCATTTGTATAGTGTGTTTCATTTTTTAATGTGTGAAAATAAAAACAAATTAAAAGATTTCTGTACAAGTCGCATTTGGTTTGTTGTTTTAAGTTTCACTACTTTCTATTTGTAAATAAAAGGTATGATGATTATGCAAAACTTAACAATCTTATTATTCTCTTTCCTTCTAGTGTCCTTCTGCTGTCTGAAAAAGGTTACATCCTGTGGACTGAACATTTAATGTTTTGATCCAGGCCACAATAACCATTGCTTTATTGAGATTCATTTTTAAGACATTTCCATTCCTTCTCCAGTCCCCAATAACCCAATAAGTGGGCATAGAGATCATTTTCTAGTTTGACCAACATCAAATTAATGTCTCTCAAGTCTTCATTATATGCATATTGATCTGTCTATGTTGTGAGTCTGGCATACGCCCTAGGACTGGCTCCCATGTGGCCCCCATTCCCCCTTCCCAGCTCAGCTTTGCTTGCATTATCCTGCCCTTTTGCAGCCTGAGGGGGATTGGGAGAGTAATTCATTTACTCTTCCACTGCTCAGTTTTGAATGTGGAATTCTAAGTTTTCTGTGGGCAGTTCTTGTCTTTGAGCTGTTTCCTCATCTGTTAAAAAGGAGATGATACCTACCCTTTGTGACAGAGTTGTTGAATCAAATGGTTCATGAAAGTGTTTTGTAAAGTGTAAGGCTGTGTAAGTTATCTTCTTTATGGTGGCATTTAGCTATCTATCTCTGGGTTAAAGGACTGGGAGGAGAGTCACTATTAAAAAAACATTTTTCCATTCCCTTGAAGAGCCTGGAAACACCCCGCTTGCCTCATTTTTCAACTAATCTAAATCTTATTAATAAGGAGGCTCCATAGCTTACAAGCAAGCCTGAGTCCAGAAGACATGCTGACTTTGTAACCTTGTGCAAATGACAACCCTAAGTGGCAGAATAATTGTTGCTCTGCCTTGGTAGTGGGATTTCTTCTTCACAGAGTTCCCTAGACCAGTAAGATCACTCAGCTTCACCTAAAACAAAACTTTGCTGTGCCCAGTACTGAATTTATGCAAAGTGAGGAACTAAGGTGGCTCCATTTCAAGGTCCCGTGTATGAGGGAAGAGAAAAGCACCCCATGCCCACTAACCTAAGACAGATTACATTCAGGTTTCCTACGCTCGCTATTCTATTTCAGTCTTTAGTAAAGAAGTCCTAAGGAGAGAAAAATGTTTTTAATGTAGTTGACTGCCCTTTTATGATTTTCAAATGGTAATGTTTTCTCAAATAGTTAAACATACAAGATTAATGAGCCTTATGAATAATATGAAAATAGCTGATTTAGGTATTTTACTGACAAGACTGTGAATTCCCACAGATGGGTGAGAAATTTTGTTAATTTAGGCATCAGTAATGTGCTAAGTACACGAGTAAATTAGAAATAACAGCAACAATCCAAATACAGCACACCTATTTTGTATATTTCTTTGCAATGGGAATGTTTTCCATTGAACGTTAACTTAAGTTATTCAGAGTAATTATGGAGGCAGGAAGACTCTCTAAACTAGGATTCAGAAGTTCAAGCACAACCTTCACCATTTTGATGTCAGTTTATGCAAACCGATTAACATGTCCAATCCTCATCTTCCTCAGCTCTAAGATGGAGATATTTGTGTTGTCTACTTCACAGGGTTATTGTGAAGATTACATGATGAATGTGAAACTACATAGCTTTCAAAGATTAAAAATACAAAATTGCTGTTATTTTATACTTTTAAGAAAAAACTATCCACCCTAGCCTCGTAGATGAAAGAATAACTAGATGGCAGCCTAGTTCCCACCATACTTCAGTCCTCTGTCCTGAGCTGTCATCTCATCCTCCTTGTCAGAGAGGAGAAGAAGACAGCTGATGAGTATTTTTCAATCTCTTTCAAGTTAGTGCGAAGGTGTTGAGTAGCCCCGATCATACTTGAAAGAGAAACACTGTACAAAGGACAGCTAAATAATAATATCAATCTTATTACCACCCTGGAAAGTAATTTTTGCTAGGGGTACAAGGATGAAAAGATAGGCTTGTGACAAGGCAAAGGAGACCCAGCACCTGAGTCATTCAAAGCTCCCACAGAGAGCCAAGGTATGTTCAAAGAATTACTTTTAGTAATTTTATTTCATGAGTCAATGTTTGATGAGGCCGTTTTGTTTTAAGTTCTTCCCATTCCATTGTAAGAAGTACAAAGTGGTACCAGAAAGGATGGTTTAACTCCCACTGCTATTGGAAGAGGTTGTGGGATCTCTAAGACCTCTTTTCATCAATAACTATCAGCTACATTTGGTTATAAGTTTTTAGTAGGCATCTTCCAAGCTTTCAAGTCACTGATACTAAAATCCTTTCCCTACACTTTCCCTAATTTGTTGAGATAGTTTCATTATTAAAGCCAAAGAACAAACTGCCAGAGTAGAGCTCCAGACCCATCAAAGTGAGGAATTCATTGGATTACAAGCTTTTTTACATTTAAAATTCCAAGTTCCATAAAGCCATCTTAATCTCATACTGTCTGACCCCTGGTCCTCTACCTGTTGAATCCCTATCTATCCCTTAACACCATTTTGTGAATTCCCTCAAATGTCATTTCTGTGAAAACTTAAGCACTTTAGCTAACAGGGAGAATCATAAGTGTTTCCATATTTCAGTTTCTTAAAGTACATTTGCAGTTGTGAACTGCTTAGTATTTAGTTGGAGGATGAGAAGAAAGCTTATCTTGTACCTGCACACCATGGTTATTTAACACTGGGCGGGGGGGGGGAGTTTCCTCAACGTCTTTATGAAATGTCATGACATTTTGTTTACTTAATCATATATGTTTACTTAAAGCAAGTTCTGAGTAAATCAAAACAAGTTTATTCACAATGAGAAAATCAATTAAGTCTGTTAAGAACTAGATATTGAGAGGCCTGAACTGTGACAGGTGAGCTCAATAACTTCATTACTATCACCATTACATTTTTAATAGATTCTTGTATAATATTTAAACAGATTTTTTTTTCTCTTCAGTGGGGAGGAAGCAAAAGAGAACCAAGCAGCATCCACAGGTGGTGACTGCTGGTAACGACCCAAAAGGCCCGCAAGCTGAGAGTCCTCCTGCTTGCCACAAACCTTGAGACGGAGTTAGTCTGTCCCTGATAAGGAAAAGCTATGCCTGTGAGGAAGAAGTTTGGATTAAAAAAGCTACAAAGGTAAAATAATTTGGAAATGAACCCTTAACAGTGTTGGAGGATGGGGAGATAGATGGGAGAGGATGGGAAGGAAACAGACGATGGTGAAGCTGCCAGGCCCAGTGCCCTCTCTGTAACAATGTCACCAAACTGCCTGAGAATTGAAGAGGATCCTGTTTGCCTGAACTTAGAAAACACAAAGTTGGATAGCCTGCCTGTTGATGCTTTTTTTCCTTGCTTTTGCCTCCTAAATACATTGAATACTTTTCAAAGAAAAAAGAGAAATTGGATTTGGAGTCATCTGTATGGCCATGGGCAAGTCTCTTCACCTCTTCTGGGCCTTAGTTTACGTGTATAAAGGAGGAGGTGGACAGGATGAACTCCAAATTCCCTCCTATTCTAAATCTTCTGTGACCTGTGGACATTCTGGCAACGTTTCCATTTTGAAAAGCAGCTAAAACAATCCCCAGGTATTGGTCTTTCTCTGTCTCATCTATTTGAATTCTAGTTAATGAGATAGTTAATTCTAGTTAATGGGATTCATTCTCTGTAGTTTCTCAGCATAAAGGTTTCATGTATGCTGACCTCTTTCTGGTTTATATAGCAAAGTATGCAGATTAGATTTATGTTTATAAATTCATAATTATAAATTGATCTGGTTAATTAATAGCAGTTTTCCATATAAAATTCCTATCTGGGCAGCCTAAAACCCCCAAGTTGTTTTACTGCAGTCTGAATTGTATAAATTGGCTTTTGTGTAGAAGCATTATTGAATATCTTTGAAAGACATTGAAACGCAGAACTTTTATGTGGTGTTGTGAAGAGTAGGTTGCAACAGGATGTGTGGTAATACCTGCAGTTTTTAAAAGGCAGGCAGACTTGGTTAGTCTCCATAGAAATGATTTGTTAAAATTGCTGAGAAGTTTGGTTTGTTCATGAAGTTATTTCTATGACAAATGTATTTGGTTTGACCAAAGGCACATGCATGAAATTCATACTGCAGTGGTTTGTTAAATGGGTCTTCAAACCATTTGGTTTGGTTAGGATTTGGCATTCTTATTTATTTAGATAGTGTAATCTTACTGAGTCAGTTCATTGCCATTAAGGTTACCTTTTCCCCAAAAGAAAAGTATTTACCAAAAACTTTCAGACTCACCATTTTCCCATATTTCATTTCAATTAATTATTTAGTAGCCCCCAACACTGCTGATGTTTTAAAAACTTGGGATGCAAAAATATCAGGCCTTCTGAAAATGTATCCATGAAAATTGTTGCCGGACACAGGATTCACAAGGATTGCAGGATGCAGAATTAGCCAGCCTTCTGACCCTACTTTCCAGCATATTACTGGTTCCAAAACCATATTACTACAAGATATTCTAATTTTCATAGGGAAAAAATGGCTCTTAACCATTTTGCTTTTTCACCAATCAACTTAGAATTAGATTTAAAAAGGAGAGTCAAGCCAATTCTCTCTGGTGTTACTGCAGGCCAGGTACATTAAGGACTGTCTATCAGATGGTAACAGCTGTAGGGTATTTTTGACCACAAAGGGGTATATGCATGCATGTGCAGCCATTGGATGGGGAGAAAAAAATACCTAAGTTGCTATGCATTGAGAATGCACCAGATGGTGCTCAAAATTGTTTCCCAAAATATGAGGTCTACCTAGTTGGATTCTCTTATGTAAGTGAGGCATTTTTAATCCCTGCTCAGTTAGAAGTACTTTCTCAGTTGTTTCAGGAGTAAGGAGGGACAAGTTGGCTATTTGTCAGACAGAACAAATGAATGTATTGAGATGAGTTAAATAATATTCAAATATAAAATTGGCCTAAGGAGAAAACTTAAATGTGGCTTGCTGCATGTGTAAGTGTGAATTTATGCTGCGGTTTTCAATCATTTTTTAAGCACTTCCTATGTGCCAGGCACTGTGCCAAATACTTAGATTCTGAGCTTCTCAAAATCTATTTGGGGACAAGTTACATACAGGGAAGGCACTAGAATTAAGAGGGGTTGGGAAAGACTTCCTGCACAAGATTGGGACTTAAAAGAAGCCAAGGAGGGCAGTTAAGTAGAGGTGAAGAAAAGAGCATTCCAGGAATGGGGAGGGACATCCAGAGAAAATGCCCAAAGCTGAGAGATACAGTTTTCTTGTTCGTGAGTCAACCAGTATCATTGTATCAAAGAGTGCATATCCAGGAATAAGGTGTTAGAAGACCTGGGATGCAGAGGAACAGATCAGGAAAGGTTTTGAACACCAGATTATTTTTTTTGTATTTAATCCTGGAGGTTATTGAGAGGAAGGGATGATGACATGGTCAGACCCATATTTTAGGAACATTACTTTAGTACCTTTGTGGAAGATGGACTGGAGTAGGGAAGAGCCTTGAAGCCAACCCATCAGCAGGCTACTGCAGTAGTCCAGGTCTGAGGGCCTGCCCCAGGGTGAAGGCCCTCGGAGAGAAGGGGGTGTATCTGAGAGGTAAAATCTCTAGTCTTTGGCAACACAGGGGAGCCATAGTTGACTCCTAGGTTGTGGACCTAGGTGGGCCCTCTACAGGAGATAGGAGAAGGGGGCTGTGGATTTCTGCTGGCTATCCAGTTTGAGACTAGAGGTCAGCGGAGAGGTTAGGGCTAGATAGTATATCTGAGAATTGTCAGTGTAGAGAGGGAGAAAAGAAGAGAGCCTACGGTAGAATCCTGAAGGACCCCTATAGTTAGAGTGCAAAGCACAGCAGACTGAGAACTGAGAACAGATCACTGGTAAGAGAGGAGTTTCAGTAGAGTGAGTCCATCTTGTCTCACCCAGTCAGTCCTTTGTCAGTTGGTGCTTTCAGTTGTTAAGAATGTGTGGCACCTTCACTCAATGAGCTTTAACAAAATGATTAAAGAGATGACTCATGCACTTGAAACAAGGGAAGGCCAGGTTTCCACTGCCAGAATCACATAGAACATTCTATTTAACATTATCATCTACCCAGAAAAGCATTGTAATTGTCATGTTAGTTGGACACATTTTAGGCCTTCAAGGGGAGACAGAAGTAGACTATAGAATTTCTTTCATCAGAGACATGTTCTTTCACTGCAGTTGACTGGATAAAATTGTCAGCAACAAAGAGAAGTTCAAGTATCCTTTATTCAAGGTTGAAAAATGTACCACACTGCATTATTGCAAAAGTTCACTGGTACAAAACACTTTGCAGCTGGTGAGAAGGCAATAAAAAGTTGATTTTTAAACTCATTACTATAAATTACTCTTACAGTACTTTGCAAATTCAGAATTTCAAATTGCATTTTATTTTTCTAAAATTGCCCACAGTACTAGAAATTCCTGAAAATAAGGCAGCTGTTTTAAAGAGGAGGTAGCTGATGATATCAAGGGATTTCCATTTCTCGTTCAATGCCCACATACTTCAGGGCATCAGCCTGGCTATATCTGAAACAAAATTAGAAAAGAATTATCTCTTGGCCCATTTAACCTTATAAAGATAATTCACTGGATGGGATAACAGTGTAAAAATACAACAGAGCCACATTTGCATATTAGTAGGAGGCAAGAACTACACTAGTTGCACTCACAATATTTCTAGGAATTGAGGTAGCAAAAGGGGGGGGGGAGAAGAGACCTTCTTAAGCCAGACAAACTGAGCTGAGCTATGCTTGCCTTTCCAATAGCTGTTTTCCAACAAATTCTACAAAGAGGTAATATTGCCTAACTTAATTTGAACTTTCCTCACCGTGCTCATCTATGCCTTAAAAGAACACACAGCTGAAGGTGAGGGAAGAACTCTGGACCAGGATGGAGAAATCCTTGATAAATTTCAGAATAGGTACCCAAAACTCATCAACGCTAAGATCTTGCTTATAGAATCTGAAATTGAGATTTAAAAAAATGGGAATGCCTAGAAAAACATGAACCTATCAACATTGTGGGTCATATTCATATCTCCTCAGCCTTATTTCCCTAGCACTTGGGCTACAGAGGGCTTAATTGCCCCCACTTTCTAGAACCAATAAATCTCTCAAGCAAATCTCTCAAGGAGTTTGGTTCACATTAATAAATCAGTCTTCAAAATGATTTCACCTCAACATTCAAAAATCTGAATCATAAATTGGGGTTATTATTCACTTGTTTTTTTCATTTTAAATCTACCACCAAAAAATGGATTTTTTAAAAAAAGAAAGCAGCTAGGTGGTGCAATCAGGAGGACCTGAGTTCAAAACCTGGCCTCAGAACAAACACTTGACACTTACTAGCTGTGTGACCCTGGGCAAGTCACTTAACCCCAACTGCCTTAAAAAAAAAAGAAAAGAAAAAAGAATTGAATCTTCCCACCCAAGATTTTAGTCACCTGTTTATCTTGCTTCCTTTCCTGCATATTTTACTGTACAAAGACATGGCTCACAGTCCTGTGTCTCAGCTGGAGTTTCAAAAATGGCATTACTGGCTAAGCAGTCATGGATAATTTCTTCCAAGCACCGCCGTGGCCCCCCCCCCCCAGTCAGAACAAGAAGAACTGAAACTTGAAAGCTTTGTATACTATTAGCTAAGGGTCTTATTAGAAGAAACCCAATGCTCACACTAGAAATATGCATTTTACCAACCTGTAGTCAAAAAACAGCTCTTCACCAGTCTGGATGGCTCTCTTAGCAAAAATACCTATCCTGTGATCACCGTTAACCATCATAACTGGAAAAAAACACACAGACCCATGTCAGCGAGCAGTTAGTACGGGAATAGCGTAGCCACAGGATAGTTAATATGACTCTTCTACACATTAAACATTCGATTGATAACTACTCCTGGGCATATAAATAAGTCTCTGTGGCCAAAATGACTTAACATCTCACTTGGTTGGTACCTACCTTTTGCATAGCAGTTGGGATTTACTGAATGATTTGCAAAACGAATTTTGTTACCCTTCCGGGTTGCATCCACCACAAAATCTAGAAAAGATAAAAGAAGTTTAAAACAAGTTTTCTTCAACAAATAATTTTAAAAGCACAATGTGGGTAATGCTGAGAAACATACTTCTGCTTTAATATGTAAAAAACTAAACAGATTCTTCCTTTCAGGATAATACTTAACATTAAAACCCAAAACTGAAACGCGCTTAGAATTCAGAAGGGCAGTACAGTCGATAGTGCTTAGACTCAGTTTCCTCAACTATAAAATGATATAATAATAGCAACTACCTCTCAGGATTGTTGAAGTGCTTAAGCCTCAATTTCAAATCCAGCCTCTGACATTTACTAGCTGAGTTGCCCTGGGCAAGTCACTTAACCTTGATTCCCCCTACCCTCCCATACATAAAGCATTGATTGTAAAAGATATGCCCTATAGGCATCTGTTAGCCACTCTGCCTTTTTTTTTTTCTGAAATGGAGAAAAGGGGTCCATGAAACAAAAAAAAGCAATTCCTGCCCTGGAGGTGCCTCCTGATCCTCCATTTCAGACCTTCATCTGTTGG